GAAGTTTTGTAGCAAAAAGGGGTGAGTGGTCGGTCCATCTTAACAGTCCTGGAGCAGAGGATCCTGGAACCAAGGTAGAAGAGAAGAAGTGGAGTATGGGACCCTACCCAGAGAAGGGCAACGCCAGAGATGGAGACAGAGATGATGACATGGAGAGACAAAGCAGCTGAGGACTCTAGACTCATCCAGGGAGAGGGGTTGTGTGCTGGTGGCCTGGGGGCATGCTTGTAGGGTGTGCTCTTTGGCTGTTTGAATGATTGTATATTCCTGAATGTTTTGGTGTGCAAAAAAACAGAGGGATGAAGCATGCAGGGGATTGTAATCATTGCAATGAACAAAATAATGTTCCCCCAATTGTGATAGTAAACTATGACTCGATTCACAATAAAAACTTTTTAAAAATGGGAAAAGCACCATTGTTTTCATTGGAACTGTTTTGAAGGCACCCTAATGAGACTAAGGCAAGTGTATTACTGAAAGAACTTGTCTGCAACCACCCACTGATTGTTTAAACACAATTTGGAATAAATCCATGTATGTATGAACTGGAACATACCATAGTAGCAATACTTGTTTACTTCATGTATTTGTATATGCTCAAATTATTTTCAAATGATTGAGGGGTGGAGAGAAAGGGAGAAAAAAGCTAAGTAGTAATAACTTCTGTATCTTCCAAATGATGTATAGAGCCTCCCTTCTCTCCCTAAAATGACTTTTATCCTTTTCTTTAGAATTTTGCATAGCATGTTCCTTTATTTGTTTGCCCGAACTGCTACTGCTGTCTCCCCAGTTCCCTATGCAGCCACTTAACTCCTAAATGCAACGTAATAAAAGAGTCCTGGTGTGGTGCTGTAGATTAAGCATTGAATTGCAAGGTTGGTTTGAATCACAAGGTCAAGGTTGGCTGTTCAAACTCAGAAGCTGCTCGTTGGAAACCCTATACAGCGTTACTGTGAGTCAGAACCAGCTTGACAGCACTTAACAACAACATAGTAGAAAGAATGTGAGTCTTATAGTCCAGATTTAGGTTTAATTCGTAATAATGCCACTTTGTTAATTCAACAAATGTTGATCAAACACCTGCTACGTACCAGATTCCATAGCAAACAAGAGACCCAATCCCTTCTCTCAAGAAGTCTCTGTTATAGTGAAGGAAATAGAAATAAAAACATTAATAGTTATTTATATAAGTAAAAATTATAATACATGATATGTTGGTTGGTTGCATGCCGTGAAGTCGATTCCTACTTTTAATGACCCTGTATAGGCTTTCTGAAGGAGCTCTGGTAGTGTAGTGGTTACGACTCGGGCTGAGAACCTTAAGGTCAGCGGTTCAAAACTACCAGCCGCTCCGCGGGAGAAAGATGAGGCTTTCTACTCCCGTAAAGATTTACACCCTCGGAAACCCTGTACAGGGTCGCTATGGGTCAGAACCGACTCGACGGCACTTAACAACAACAAAATAGGCTTTCTGAGACTGTACATCTTTACGGGACTAGATACCTTCCTGCATTGCTACTGGTGGATGCAGACTGCTGAGTTAGCAGCCCAGCTCATAACGCACTATGCTACAGGGGCTCCCTGATACAGGACCAATGGGGAAAATTCAAATACAGAGGACATCTAACTTAGATTAGGGATGGTCAAAGAGGCCTCTCCAGCCAGCTCTGTGATCTTTTTTTTTAAACTTTTGATTGTGATTTGAGTGAAGGTTAACAGACAAAATCATCAGTTTTACATTTAACAGATTATATGCTTTGTTTCATCTCAGCAATTACAAGCCCCTCCCTGCAACAACAGTTAATCCTGCTTCCTCCCTGTGACTTCCCATTCACATCTTATATTTCACAAATGAACAAAGCAAAAATATTTTATATACATACACAACAAAAAAATGTATATTCATTTAAATGTCCTAAGGGTATGTTCTGTAAGCCAGCCTCCTGTCCACAGGCACACCGTCTTACTCAGTCCATGGGCCTAGAACCCACAGCTGCTCTATCTCTCCATACCATCACCTGTGCCACCGTCTCTGCTATCAACACTTTTCTAGGTAGGATCTCATGCTCTTCCTTCTTGATGATCCTAGGATCGTCTGTTCTTGAAATGAAAGATTAACTACTTTCCCCTTTTAGTTACACATCTTCTACAATTACAGTTGTGATGATCACAGTTAATCCTGCAAACAATTACTCACAATTAAATCATAAAATACTATCAGCATCAGTTCTCCACCCCCTTTCACCAAATTCATCTAGAGAAGAGGAAAACTATTCAGTGTGGATTTTACCTTAACTCCCTTCGTTTTGAAACTAAGCACACTTATGAAAGTCTTTAAGCCAGCCACTGTGTGCTTTTATAGCCCCTCATTTTTGATAGCCAATGTCTAGATTGCACATTCCTATCAGTCCAGTGCACTGAGGAAACAAACTTGATCTTTGATATGAAGAATCTTTCCATTTTGGTTGAAATTTTCAGCAACTGCTTCCATAAGCAAAGGTCCAGTTCATCAAATTGTAGCAATTTACACTTTCTGACAGTATCAACCACATTTATCTTCATCTGATCAAGTTCTAGTCAGCTAGCCATCCAAACTAGGTTGAATGAGTACTAGCTGCAAGTTTGGGAGTTTATACACGCCTTCCTGCACTTCAGACCAGCAGGTGCTTCACTCTCAACTCTAGCCTCCTTCCTGCACTTCAGACCAGCTGGTGCTTCACTCTCAACTCTAGCACCCAGTAGCTAATCAGTGCCTATGGACACTGCAGGTCTGGGAGTTCACACACATCTCCCTAAACTTCATACCAGCCTGGACTTCCTCTTTTCTCTGTCACCTTGACGTCCATGGAACATGGACAAACTCAGCCCACGTCTTCATTACTGCATTTCCCCAACTTCCACTCACAAGTAAATTCAGGTGGTCACCAGCAAGCAGACTAAACTCATGGTTCCCTTTGAGTTTCAGCCCTTTGTTAAGTGCCGTCGAGTCAATTCCGACTCATAGTGACCCTGTATAGGTGTTCCGAGGAGCAGGTGGTGAGCTTGAACTGCCAACCTTGAAGTTCAGATGGCTTTGCAGTCTGGCGCATTAACCTATAGCGCCACATGGGTTTTTCCTGATGGGCTGATTTTTCTAGGCTTGATGCCTCCAAAGGAAACCGTTTGCTTGACATTCAAACAGCCAAACAGTCCGGTTTTTTCCCTGCAAATCTTTCTTTCAATAAGAATCTTATATTCTCCCAGCAATTTGGGGTTGGCCTATATGTCTTTTCAAGTGAGAATGTACCAACAACTCAGAAGTTTCTGGGTGGGGTTCAGGATTCCACCTAAGGCCCTATATTCTACAAAGTCTTAATAAGAAGCCTATTTCCCTGGGTGGTGGTGGTTATGTGCCGTGGAGTCACTTCTGACTCATAGCGACCCTGTACAGCATTTCCAAGGCTGTAAATCTTTACGGGAGCAGAAAGCCTCATCTTTCTCCCATGGAACAGCTGGTGGTTTCGAACTGCTGACGTTAAAGTTCACAGCCCGATTCGTAACCACTCTGCTACCAGAGCTCCTTTTTTTTTCCCTGGACAAATTCTAATTCCCCTTTTGGAAAACTCATTCAGTTTAAGGCTGAAGATGGGCTTATAAACTTTCTGTAATCATAATTCCCAATTTTCATTTATATCACACTTAAATGTCTATTTTACAATAGTAGGCAAGGGAAACCAATATCCAAAAGACCTTTTTATTTCCTCTCCTTTACCCATTCAGCCTATGTATCGATCCATGTATATACTCATAAAATACCGTTGTTCCAAACTTGTGTATAAATTACTATTTACCTCTGTCCCATTTAACTCATGCATACCTCCCTAAGTGCTCTCCTGTATTCATTGTTCATCTGCTACCCTCCCTCCTCTTGTATATTGCCCTCATCCTTCTTGTATATTGCCCTTCCTGTGGCTGGAGCTAACATGTGTCTACCCTCTAACCAGTGAATTACTCTCTTCTCCTTCCAACCCCTAGTAACCATCAAAGAATGTTTCTTTTCAGCTCTATGACTTGAGCAAAAATTTCTTGAATTTTCAGAATGTCGTTTTCTCATCTGTAAAAGTGAAGGAAGATGTGGCTACCTAAAATGAGGGGATGATAAAGCCACGAAGTGACTGGCTTACAAGGTTTCAAGAGGGAGTTTAGTTTAAGAGTATGGAGGGAAGAGAGTCCCCACTGAATAGTTTTCATCTTGTCTAGATGGGTCTGGTTAAAAGAGATGGGGATAAGATTCTTATGATAATGAGTAATAGTTATCATTATCATGACTAATTGCGACTGTCACAATGATATATAAAGGTAGAAGTTTTGTATAAAAATGGTGGAGTAGTAATCTTAAGTAATCTTACAGTCTGTAAGGTTAATCTTACAGTTAATCTTAAAGGATCCTAGGACCAGCAAGGGAGAAGAGCACAAGTTGAATGTGAGACCTTATCCAGAGAAGCAGTGACACCTGAAATGGAGGCAGAGACGGAGACATGGAGAGAGAGAGCAGCTGAGGACTCTAGATTCATGGGAAGAGAGGGACTAAGCTGGTGGCCAGGAGGCAGACTTGCAGAATGTGCCCTTTGGTGGTGTAAATTATATATACCTGAGTGTTTGAAAAAGGTAGTGAGTTGAGAGAAATACTGTTAACTGATGGTACATGGAGAGGATTGTAATCATTGTAATGAAACAAGGTGTATGATTTGTTGAATGTAAAACTGATGATCTGCCCTATAAACTTTCACTCAATTCCTGATAAAAACTTTAAAAAAAAAAAAAAGTGAAGATGAAAATGACTTTCTTACTATATTGTTTCTGAAAACTAAATATACAAATAAAGTTCCCCCTTAGAAGGAACTCCTCAGTAGATGTTATTGGTCTTTTTAGAAGCTCTGCTTCTTCCCTCACAGGACTCCTTTTAAGTGTTTTGCTGATTTGTTAATACCCTCTAACCTTATCTCTTTCTCTCTTCTCAGGGCTCAGAATGGAATGCCTCCAATTTAGAGGACTTGCAGAACCGAGGGTAAGCACACAGCACAGAGTCATTAATGACACCCCCAGGTGTCTTGTCTTTACATTTTCCAGTCAAAGAGATACTGATGGGTAACTGTAATCTTAAAAGTTGCTGCTACTTGATTTTAATCAGGTGAACTCTTGTAAAAATAAAACAACTATTCTCCTAGTTAATCTCCCTACCCCTCAAGAAAGGACAGCTATTGTACTGGAAAGACTCAAAAACAAAATTGCAAGCCTTTGTTGCCATTTAAAATAAAATGTAGTTATTGGTTCATATTTTTATATTAAGGATATACTGTGAACAAAATGTATATACATACAATGAAATATTACTCAGCCAGTAAGAGAAATGAAATCTTGATACATGCTAAAATATGGTATTATGCTGAGTTAAATCAAGCACAAAAGGGTAAATGCCATATGACCTCACATATAAAAAGACAAGAAAAGGCAAATGTATAGAGAGCTAAGTTTTAAGTGGTTCACAGTGGCAAGAGGGAAGGTGAAAGGTAGGGTTAATAGTGATGGAAATATCACATTGATTGTTGTTGGTTTTGTTATGTGCCATGAAGTCAGTTTTGACTCATATTGTCCTTGTATAGGATTTTTAAGGAGCAACTGTTAGGTGTGAACTGCTGACTTTGCAGTCAAGATTATCAGACTATGCTTTATTACTCTCTCTAAACTACAGCAATTGTGAGTTTGGCCCAGGACTGGGCAGTGTTTCCTTTTGTTGTGCATAGGGTCTCCTTGAGTAGGCACCTAACAACAACATCAAAACTACACTGAAGGCAAATGAGGCTTATCCTATAGTGACACAGTATTGTAATTGCTGTCAAAAAGTTCTACAGCCATAAAAAGTTGAATTGACAAAATCTATGTGATAGTTACATACAACAACAACAAAAACTCTTGGGATTCAGTTTCTTAGTTTGGAGGTTTTTAAGGTCATGGGACATCCTAGTTAATTGGCCTTATAATTTGTGCATTGCTTCTGTTCTGCCTCCTAGTTGGATGTTTAGTGCCTGTGGTCTTAAAAGCATGCATGCAGTCACTGGTCTTGTACATAAGGCACAGTAATTGGTCTCATTTTACCTGGAACAACAGAAGTGAAAGGATTCAGAAATTGGAGGAGGATGTGAACTGTGTGGCGAATTGCCTGCATGAACAACTGCTTCCTTTTCCCTGAGACCAAAACTGGATGGTGCTAAACTACCATTATTGAACATTTTGATCAAAGATTTCATAGAAGAATCCTAATCAGAAGTGGAAAAATGCAGAAAAGAGGTTCAAACACTCATTGAGTCTAGATTTTATGGCACCATCGAGGGTGGATGAACCCCTGAAACTATTGCCTTAGGATGATCTTTAAACCTTAAATCAAAATTATTCCTGAAGTTTTTGTAAACCAAACCATAGTGTAGCTTAAGTAGTATAAAAAGGTCTACCTTGAGTATTATGCTTCTTAAGAACTATATAGAATCAAGTTGATAAGAACAACTGAAAAGATGAGATAAGAACTTTAGGGGACAGTGAATTTAGGGTCATAGGGAGGAACTACTCAGATAAGGAGAATGAGAAAGGTTGCACAACTTGAAAATAGAATCAGTGTCACTAAATGGTAATGGTACATGTAGAAACTGTTCAATTGGTGTGTGTTTTGCTGTGTATATTCTCAACAGCAACAACAAAATATTTAAATGTATACTGTGCATGACTTAAGGGATTTTCAAGTGTAATTTGACAACAGAGCCATTGACCCCCAGTCTGCTGACTTTAGAACCTAATCCTAAGTAAAGTGCTACTCGATATAGAATCACTTCATGTTGAGATGGCAAAGAAGTTCCAAGAGTGCCAAATCCACTTGGCAGTGGCTGCCCCAAACTCTGTAATGCAAAGAATTGGGAAGCTCTGTCCTGTGTGCAGAGAGAAATGCCATATTGATTACTGAAGTATGGAGTTGGAGGTGGGGTTGTTTTTATTTTAAATAGAATTGGAGGAATGTTCATGCCTTGGTAGGGGAGACTTAATTTAATTTTATTTAGCTATGATTCATAGTTCACCCATTTAAAGTACAAAATTCAATGACTGTTAATACTTATATTCACAGAATTGTGCAATTATCACCACAATCAGTTTAGAACATTTTCTTTACCCCCCCCCCCAAAAATTTTTTTTACTCTTTAGCAAGCCATCCCCATTTCTTCCTTCCACCCCAGCCCCTGGTAATCACTGACTTTCTATCTGTAGATTTGTCTGTTGAGAATACTTCATATAAATGAAATCATATAATATGTAATTTTTTTCAGATTTCTTTTACTTAGCATGTTTTCAAAATGTATTCATGTTGTAGTGTGTGTCAATACTTCATTCCTTTTTTAATTGCCAAAAAATATTCCTTTGTATGGATCTGCCACGTTTTATTTATCATCTCATCAGTTGATGAGTATTTGGATTGTTTCTACTTTTTTGGCATTATGAATAACACTGCTGTAAACATTTGTGTGTAAGAGTTTGTGTAGGCATGTTTTCATTTCTCTTGGATACATACCTGGAAGTGGAATTGCTGGATCATATGGTAACTTTGTTTAACCTTTTGAGGAACTGTACGTCTGCTTTGCAAAGCAGCTGTATCATTTAGATAGATAGATAGATAGATAGATAGATAGATAGATAGATAGATAGATAGATAGATAGATAGATAAATTTCACCATGTGCTCGCTCTTTAAATTAAAAAAAAAAAAAAGTTATTGGGCTTTGATGCTAAGTTAGAACAGATTCAAATCATGCCTCAGGAAAATTTTGGCCACCTGACCTTACTTCTTAGTTGGCAAGGCCAGACTCTGTCTTTCTAAGATCATTTCTTTTCTTTGACTTCAGAATTTGGTTCTGAGAAAGAAGTAACTTTGGCAGAGAGAAATGAGTGATTCTATATTATGTGGTTGGGATAACTTCAATGATATCTGAGTCTGTATAGCATGGAGAAAAGATAACCCATTGGTACATTAAACCCATGGATTTATTCATATTGTGCAGTGAGCAAGATAGCAAAAGGAAACTTTCATACAGAAACTGTGTTCTGCAAGCATCTGGGTATGGGAGAGCCCTCACATACGTTCACTACCATAGTGACCAGGAATGTAGCCAGGTAAAGTTAAGAAAGGTTAAGAGAGTTTTAAGTCCACCTTTCCTGTGAGCCTCCCAGCCCTGGCCTCATTCACCTTCAGTGTTTAGAGAGAGTAATACAGCAAAATCTGACAATCTGGACAATTAGAAAGGTAGGAAGAATATTTTTTTTCTCTTTTAGAGACATGTCAGTAATCTAATTGTATATACAAATAACTTCCCCCCAAAACATATTATATTGCAGGTAATTCTAGTGACAGAAAGAGAAATTGTCGAATTATGGGCCTCAGGATGATTCTTTGGAGTAAATATGAGGCATGTTATTAAGAAACTACCAAAGGTGAGGTTGTGTAACTATACATAAACCGAAAATGGATTTTTAGGTGTTGAACTTGGTAAAAGTCTTTTCTCTTAATAACTCCCTGGTGCCCAGGGATATGCCCAGGACCTTGTTATATAGCCTTTATACTAAATTAGCATATCATCTTAGGTTTTTTTGTTGTTGTTGTTTTAGTATTTAATTTCAGCCTAGGGTTTAAGATAGTTTTAAATAAGCAAAACAGTGCTGGGAATTGGATTTAACTTAAATAGAATACATGCTCTTCCTTATTTTTCTTGCAGGGTACGGTATATCTTGAATGTCACTCGAGAAATAGATAACTTTTTCCCAGGAGTCTTTGAATACCATAACATTCGGGTCTATGATGAAGAGGCAACGGATCTCCTGGCCTACTGGAATGACACTTACAAATTCATCTCTAAAGCAAAGTGAGTAGTGTTTTGACCTTTGTCCCTCATGTACCACATATGAGTGAGGCCTATTGGCTATAGATGATGACTTATTAATTAATGGTACTCAGGAAAAATGAAGTTAAAAAAAAAAGAATTGGGATCTGAATATTTTAAAAATAAAATATAGGCAAAAGGAGACTATGACTTAATGCTTTGACCATAAGTAAATGAAGAATGTGAGCACATACTATCTGTTTCCTTTGAATGTAAAATTAGAGGAGATAAACTTGAGCTGCAGCAAGAAACAGAAATGAAAGAAGAAATTCTGAGTGAAATTCCTAAGCTTGCTAATGGGGAGATTAAAAATTAAGTAATAGAAATTATTCCAGAAAGATGCACTTTGAAGACAAGGAGAGAAACTGAGTAAACCTTGGAAATCTCTTACGTTCTTTTACTTTTTTTTTTTTCCTGCCTCCTGGCTGCCAGCACTCAGTCCCTCTCTTTCCATGAGTCTAGAGTCCTCAGTTGCTCCCTCTCTCCATGTCCTCATCTCTGCCTCCATCTCTGGTGTCACTACTTCTCTGGATAGGGTCCCGCATTCCACTTGTGCTCTTCTCCTTGATGATCCTAGGGTCCTCTGTTTCTGGACTGTAAGATTAACTACTCCCCCGCTTTTATTATAAAACTTCTACCTTTACAGTTGTGACAGTCGCAATTAGTCATAACAATTATTCACTATTAAAGCATAAGAATCTTATGCCCATCTTTTTTCACCAGACCCATCCAGACATGATGAAAACTATTCAGTGGGGACTCTATATTCCCCCACATACTCTTAAACTAAACTCCCTCTTGAAACCTTGTGAGCCAGTCACTTCGTGCCTTTATCGCCCCCTCATTTTAGGTAGCCAATGTCTAAGTTGCCTGTCCCTATCTACCCCGTGTACAGAGAGGATAGCATTGATACTTGATGGGAAGACTTCTTCCCTCTCTGTTGGTATTAAGAGTTACTACCTCCATGAGTATAGGTCATGTTGTAGCAATTTCCCGTTGTTTCCTTTATAAAAAAAATTTTTTTTTTTTTTTTTTTGGTAATCTTCTTGTAATCGAGTTCTGATAATCAAGCCATCGAGGCTAGGTCAGATGGGTACTGTCTGCAAGTTTGGTTGTTCTTGTGCGTCTCCCCTCACTTCATATCAGCTGGATGCTTCACTCTCAGCTCTAGCCTCCATGACTATGTCCTTGTCCAAGGGTCTCACCACACTTTGGAGCAACCAGCCCTTCCTCTTCTATCTCTCATCTCCAGGTTAACATGGAACATGGTTGAACTCAGCATTTACTTTATTTTTATGATAGCCTAAATAATTAAATTTTCCTCTGGGTTTTCTGTTGATGACTTAATTATCCCTTTTAGTATTAACTATTTAGTATTAAGTGCTTATTTGTATTATAGTATTAATTAATATTTTCATATAACACTGTATTTTTTAAGTTCCTTGGATTTCCTTGCCCACCTATTTACTCTTGTCACTTAAAAAAAAAAAAAAACTCAACTGCCATTGAGTCAATTCCATCTCACAGTGACCCTATAAGACAAAGTGAGCTGCTCTTCAGGATTTCTAAGACTGGAAATAATTACAGAAGCAGAAAGCCTCAACTTTCTCCCACGGGAGCGCTAGTGGTTTGAACTACTGTCCTGTCAGATTAGCAGCCCAGTGCTTAAATCACTGTGTCATCAGGGCTTCTGTTCTTCACTAAAAGGAATCATAAATGAGCATCTTAGCCATGTTCATCCTTCAAGGAGGACCACATAGATACTATCCCTGGCAGATGAAAAGTGCTTCTGTTTTTCAGTCTTCCTTCAAGAATGATTCTAAAAGGAAAAAAAAAAAAATAAGAATGATTCTATACCTCTTAAGAATCTTCATGGTTAGGAATTTTTTTTATTCTTTCAGTTACCCTGTAGCACTCATACTCTAACGTGAGGCCATTGCTTCTGTCTCTACCTACCGCCTGAAGGAGCATTTGTTGTTCTTGAAGCCTGTTACTAAATTACTCCTATAATAGTACTCTTCATGACCCGCTCATTATGTACCAGGCACTTTACATGCAGTATCTCATGTAATCTTTTCCAAAACTCAGAGGCAGATACAGTCATTCTCCTGCACAGATGAGATTCAGAGAGGTTAAGTAACAAGTGTGAAGACAGCTCTTAAAGCAAAGATTGTGTCCCACTTCAGAGTAAATCAAGTACTCAGGAGTAGACTAATTCCCTGAGGAAAGGGCACTAGAAAAAGACTAGACTAGTTGTTAGAGTCCCAACCAAAAAGGCTAGAGTTCAAACTGAGACCCCCGTCTCTATGAAAAGGAAAGCTAACTTCTGTAGGGCTATAAGTAGGCGCTGCGGGTTAATGTGCTGGACTGCAAAGTTGGTTTGAACTGCAAGGTTGGCGGCTCAAGCTCACCAGCCACTCCTTGGAAACCCTATACAGGATCAATATGGGTTGGAACTGATTCAAAGGCACTCAACAACAACGACAACATAATTAGGATTTAAGTCATCACTCAAGGTTATAACATTTAAGGAGGCACTCACTCTCAGGTGACCACCTTAAATCTTGCATCTTGAGCACCTCATGTGTCTGACCCTAATCAGAACCCTGAGATTTAGATCCTGCTTCTGGTGAATTTAGGATTCCCTAGTGTTGCCATGCTTGCTTAACTTGAAAGGGTGGAATTAGGTTAGATAACTAATTTCAGATCTTTCATTACATGAGTTAGATGTCATCTTCCGAAAAATTCAGTTCAAAATATGCTGAAGAGTTTTCATGATACTGGATTTTATAAATGTATTTTTCATATGGTTGTCCAAGTTTGATCACCTTGAGCCTGTCCCAAGTTTGAGCCTGTAGACATAGACCTGAAATTTAATGCATTAAAAGTTGGTAAAGCTTAAAGGGAAAATACAGAGCACATGTCTAAACATCCATCTGAGTCACCGTGCATTGGCTTCCTAACTGTAGTCTAAATGAAAACCTTATGGTGCCAGAAGTAAAACAAGTACTTATTTCCTAGTCATTTGGGGTGTTCTGAGCACACAGAGACACATACCCACCCCAACCTTAGGACACCAGATCTTCATACCTAATTGATAGGTAGGAGGTTAATCATACCTTTCCTTGAAGATTGTTTCAGTTATTCCAGACTCTTTTCTGCCTTCCTGTACCTGCCTCACTCAACTTTGGCACTTAACCTCATGCCTACTTGAATTGATATTTAACTCTTTAATGTGTTTATATTTTCCACAACAGGATTATAAACTTCTGGAAGGAAGCTTGTCTACCATTATACAGTCAGTCAGTCAGTCAGTCAGTCACTTAGTGAGTAGAAGATTTCATGTTATTTTTTTACTTACTGGCATAGCCACTTGGGCAGGATTCCAGAGCCTGTGTCACCAGTGATAAGAGGGACAATTCTTTTCCAGATTTTAAAATGCTGTTTCTACTTAAGCAGCTAGTAGTTTAAATTAATCAGTACATCCATAAGACTGCCATACATTCAGCAATATTTGAAGGCCTACTATGTGCCGGGCATTGTATTATTAGCAGAACTAGCAAAACTGAAAGGAGCTCTGGTAGCGTAGTGGTTACGAATCAGGCTGCAAACCGCAAGGTCAGCAGTTCTAAACTACCAGCTGTTCCACGGGAGAAAGATGAAGCCTTCTGCTCCCGTAAAGATATACAACCTCGGAAACCCTGTTCAGGGTCGCTATGGGTCGGAACCGACTCCACGGCACACAGTAGCAGGAGCAGCGTAACTGAATAATATTCACATTCAAGGTAATAAGCTCTGGCATATTCAGTCTGAAGTGTTTTGTTTAGGGTTTCATTAAAAACAAAAGCAAACAACAAACCAGCAGGCAGGTCTCATTCATTCCACCCTCATCACATGCTCACATCCACCTGTGCACAGGTTCTATAGCAAGTCCCTAGATAGGACACTGGTTGTGGTGGTGTGAAAAATAGTATCCAGTACTGCACCTGAGTAGAAAGGAGAGTTAGTTTCATTGAGTTTGTGATTTCCTCTAGGGACAGAACCCTCACTGGAACTCGAAGCAACGCAGAACATTTGAATAAATTAGATGAATCACTGCCACACCTGTAACTCAAGAGTGTGCCAGCCCTGGGGCAGTGAGGGGACTGGCCTCTGCACACAGAAAAGGGTCTTGGCACTTAGCATTTTGAATCATAATTGTCTGTATCTCGCACTGAATCCTACCCTTTTAGGGCAAAAACTGTGTTACTTATCTTTGTAAACCAGTGCCTTGCACATTGTCTTACACATAGTAAATGCTTGCAGAATATTGTATGCTCGAACAGCCTGTCTTCCACACACATTTGATTATAAATGTATTCTAATGCACCAAGGTGCAGGGCGGGGAGAGAATTCCATAGCAAGAAAATGGACGGGTAAGACAGGAGACTTGGAAAACATATAGAATCCAGCTTTAAAAAAATATATACTCATTATTGCTTTTTCCTCTGTTCTTTACATTGATCCCCCACAACTAGGAAACATGGATCTAAATGCCTTGTGCACTGCAAAATGGGGGTGAGTCGCTCAGCCTCCACTGTGATTGCCTATGCAATGAAGGAATACGGCTGGAATCTGGACCGAGCCTATGACTACGTGAAGGAAAGACGAACAGTGACCAAGCCCAACCCAAGCTTCATGAGGCAACTGGAAGAGTACCAGGGGATCTTGCTGGCAAGGTAAGTCGTTAACTGACTTCTCAAATTCCCCTCCTCCTCTGAGGCTTCCTAAGGCATGTTGAAATGGCCTTCTCAGGAACTAGTTCTCAGATTAATTTGGACCTGGTTCTGTTTTGAAAAAAATAACTTTATTCCTCTATCAAGCCCATTAAAAAAAAAAAAAAAAGCAATAAGCATTTAAAAATTAGTATGGACCTATGAAATCATCTTTAACAACTAGCAAAGAATGTTCCCTTTGAACAGCGAACTCTTAAAAAATTATCTATATGATATTAACCTGACAAAGAAAGATTAACATGGAAATTTAATGTCTCAGGTTGATACTATTAAAAGATGGAACTACTATTCCCTTTGTTTCAGTTCTCAACTAGGTGCAGATTTTAATAAACATTTCCCAATACCTTATAAGGCCAGATGCAACTGCCTTACCAAAATGAATACCTTGTGCTTCTAAGACAATGAATACTAAACTCAGAAATATAAGTACACTGCCATCAATTCAATTCTAGCCCATAGCAATCCTGTAGAACAGAGTAGAACTACCCTATAGAGTTTCCAGGGTTGTAGATCTTTACAGAAGCAGACTGAAAGAATTTTCTTTCTCCCATGAGCAACTGATGGTTCGAAGTAGCGAACTTTTGGTTGGTAGCAAAATGTTTTAACCACTGCACCACCAGAACATTCTAAAGTAATGTTTGTTGTTGTTAAGTATCATCAAGTTGTTCCAACTCATTAGCGACCCTGTATAGGACTTTTAAGGAATGGCTGGTGGGCTTCAACTAGCAACCTTGTGGTTAGTAGTCCATTGCTTATCCTGCAGCACCACAACAGAACTCCTGGAAATGCTTTGACCCCTTCTTTAAATTAAAAAATAAAAAAGTACCTGTTGTTTTTCAGAGCTGTTTTACTGAGCCCTTTCAGATATTTTTGATCATGTGACTAATCAGTAGACTTGAGGTGTACTCATACTAACTTACTGGTATGATGGTACTTTGTAGAAACAACTATTTTTATGTTTTCTACTTTAATATCTCATTAATCAATTTTACACATATGCTATGTAAAAATGCAGAATCATTTCTAAGTTCAGTACCTACACAGAGCAGTCAACATTACCTGTTTCTCCAGGTCTTAACTTGATCACCTTATGAGGGTGTTTTTCACAAAAATTTTTCTGTGGCTTACCGCTCTAAACAAAACTAGACTTGAAACGTCTTCCTGAATCAATAGGAACCTGCTGTTTTCAACTATAATTTAGTGTTATTGGTTATAAGTGAGTAATTCCACTACACTGAATATTACTCCTTTGCTGGTGAGAGCCACCTTCAGTTGCTCTCAGGAACAAGATTCAGATTTAAAACTTTATTTAAGGATCATTTTCCTGGGATGTGCTAGATTTTGCTTTGTCTTTTCCATATAGACATATAGTTTTAGGTGGTTTTATTAGGGCAAAGGCACAGCTGCCTAGAAGCAGTTGGGTTGATGCCAGGGTTTGACTCCAGTGAGTCTCATGACTTAGTCTTGACTCTTGAATCTGGGCTGTGTTCCCCCTGAACAAAATGCTTCCAGCCTATCCAGACAGAAGGACCACCCTCCAACCCTGAAGTATTGTGAAAATGTGGCCACAGCATAGGATTATGGTTTGTTTCCACTAAGAAGTAACGCCTACCATTTACTCAATACGTGGCATGATTTCATCTGAGCTGTTCTCTTAGGAGACTGGGAGAATACTCAAGCCTTCTTTGCTTACAAAGAATTTATAGTTCTTTAGGGCCAGATTTTGATGACATTTTTAGATTATATCAAAAGGTAGGACACAGCAGTTCTTTTTGGCAGAAGAAGGAGGCATCTGAGGGTTTGATGAGACATAAATATTGTATATTACCAGACACACACATGATGGATGTTATTAAGCAATGTCCCCATGTGACCCATCGAGAGGAAGGATACTATGTATATTTCAGATTTATTTGGTTGTGTTTTTTAAGTATATGTGACTTTTCTTAGTTAAAGGAATTTCAGGAAAATCTTAGATGAGGATAAGAAGGGCAGCAAAAGTCTGTAAATCACCCTCTCTCTTCCATTTTCCTTTCATTTTCCACCCCATCTGCCTTCCTGTGCTTGATTCATGGAGGGAGGGGCAGGAATTTGTGTCCGTAGATCTGGTTGCCATTCTTTCATCCCTTACTGCAACCTTGACTAAATTACTTCCCATTTCTGATCCTAATCTGATCTCATCTATAAAATGAAAATCAAGAGACCTACTACACAGGGTTAGTGTGAATAAAAATGTGTATAAACATACATTATGTACTGTTAAGAGTTATTCAGATATAAAGGGTAGCCCTTGGAAGGCGACCCAGAAAAAAACACATATACTACATGTGCCATATATTTCCTTCTCCTTGACATCAAACGCTGATTCCCACCACTCACAGAAACTGGCATGGGAAGCAATCCTGTAGTTCCCTGTGTCGTGATGTCTTCTGGTTTTTAGGAACTAGAACTCAGTGCTACAGATACCACTTAAGCTTCTTTTGGCTTCGAGTTGTAAGATACCTCCATCAGCCTGGATCTCAACAAGAGACACGTGGCACTCTCAGATGAAGATTATTTGAAAAGGACTTAATAAAGAGACTATTGCAAAGGTGGGGTTGTAGTAGACTTAACCAGAGACTAGTATCAGCAGAACTTTTATCACTTCTAGGCCCAAAGAGGGGAAGGAGCAGTTACTAGAACCTGGAAGGAGAATCCTATAGAGAAAGACACACCTTCAAAAAGGAATAATAATTTTCAGTCAAGAGATACAACCAAACTAGTTGTAAATGCTATGTTATTGTTAAGTGCTGTCGAGTCGGTTCCGACCCATTAGCGACCTGTATAGGGTTTCCGAGGAGCAGCTGATGAGCTTGAACTGCCAATCTTGCAGTTCAAACAGCTTTGCAGTCTGGCGCATTTAACCCATAGTACCACACCAGAACTCCATAAATGCTATAGCACGTGGCTAAAGAGAAGGAGCACTTTAATTAGGGAAGAAGACCTCTTCCAGAAGCCCCTAGTAGACTTCCCCTCAAGAGACATTGGCAAAAAAAAAAAAAAAAAAGACACATTGGCAAGGGTTGAATCATATGCATAAGACTAATCACTGGCCAGAGAAATCGAATTTCTGAAACTGGCTAAAACAAATTCATGTTTATCCTTTTAGGCTAGGGAAGTATGCCACATTTTCTGAAACCATTGAACAGTGAATGCCCAAACCAAATCAAGTACCTTTGCCAGTAAGGGAAAAACCTGCAGCCATCTAGTAGATTCTGACCCATAGCAACCCTATATAGGGTTTCTGAGACTTTATAGCCCCTCCACCTCATTTTAGGCAGCCAATGTCTAAGTTGCCCGTCCCTATCACCCTTGCATACAGAGGGGGTAGGATGAAGACTTCTCCCTCTCAGTTGGTATTTTGAGCTACTATATACGTAAGTATAGGTCAAGTTCATCAAATTGTAGCAATTTACACGTTTTTCCTTTATCAAGTTTTTTTTTTTTAATCTTCTTTTCGTGAAGTTGTGATCTTTAAGCCTTCGAAGTTAAGTCAAATGGGTACTCTTTGCAAGTTTGGGCATTCTTGTGCATCTCCCCTCACTTCATATCAGTTGTGCACTCCTGCAATACCTTTTTAAACAACATAAAATATGATTTTACATATGGGCATCACCAGATGGAATACACAGAAATCAAATTGACTACATCTGTGGAAAGAGACGGTGGAAAAACTCCATAGCATCAGCAAAAACAAGGCCAGGGGCAGACTGTGGAACAGACCCTCAATTGCTCATAATGCCAGTTCTGGCTGAAGCTGAAGAAAATCAAAACAAATCCACAAATATGACCTTGAACACAGCCCACCTGAATTTAGAGATCATCTCAGGAACAGATTTAATGCATTAGACACTAATGACCATGAACCAGAAGAGTTGTGCAAGAGCATCCTACAGGAAGAAAGCAAAAGGTCATTAAGAAGAAAAGGAAAAAAGAAAAAACCAAAGTGGATGTCAGAAGAGACTCTGAAACTTGCTCTCCAGCATAGAGATGCTAAAGCCAATGGAAGACATGAGTCAAAACAGATGAATAGAAATTTTCAAAGGTCAGCTCTAAAAGATGAAGTCAAATAAGTATAATGAAAGTCAAATATTATAGTGAAATACACAAGTACCTGGAAAACCAAAAGGGAAGAACACGCTCAGTGTTTCTCAAGATGAAAGAACTATGGAAAAAATTCAAGCCTCGACTTGAAATACTGAAAGATTCTTTAGGCAAAATATTGAATGATGCAAAAAGCATCAAAAGGAGATGGAAGGAATATATAGAATCATTGTATCAAAAAGAAATGGTTAATCCCACACACAGAGTGGACGGAGAAGGGCAGCTTGGACATTGGATACTCAAATGGGGAGGTGGGGACTACAAAGGCAAGAAGTGACTGGTTTACAAGCTTTCAAGAGGGAACCTGGTGCTAGGGAGCATGGCAGAAGGCAGACTCTCCAGAAGGTACTATTCAGTCTGTCTGGGCGGAACTGATGAAAGGAGATACAGATGGGTAACTCGTGATACTGTAGTGAATAATGCTTATCAGGATGGATTATGAGGGTTGGAAATGCAAAGGTAGAAGTTTTGTAACAAGGAAGGGAGTGATTGATTCTCCAGGATAGGAGCGGAGGCCTCTAGGACCATCGACGGAGAAGAGCCGAGAGCCGGGACCCTACCCAGAGAAACAGAGATGCCTGAGATGGAGACAGAGATGATGACGTGGAGTGATGAAGCGACTGGGGACTTTGGACCCAGAGAGGGAAAGGGATTGTGGGCCGAAAACTGGGGGGAGAAGGGGGAAGTATAGGGAGTAGGTTTCTGGGATATACCCTTTGGGTGGTTGAGGATGCATGGAGGGGATTGGAACCATGGCAGTGAGATGATATA